GGGGGAGGGGGGGGTTGTAAGCAGCTGGACATGAAGCCTGTATTGTGGGGATGGGGGGGTGGGAAGTGGCCAGACACGGGGCCCCTTGGCTGCAGGTTTTGCAGAATAAGATGGGCCGGCTCTGTCACTGGCCAAGGCAGTACCTGCTGTTTAATTAAAGTATGACCTCTGTCAGAGGTGGGGAGAACTTTGTGCTGAGAGGTGCTAACCAGCATCCCACCCGCACACCCCCATCGCTGCCTGAGCAGCAGGGCTTTGTGTGCTGCTGCTTGGGCTGATGTTCAGGCTGGAAAGTACAGAAAGGCTTTGCTGCTGGGCATGGTGATTTGGAGGGAAAGTTCTGTATGCTGAGAGCCTGATCTCCCTTGGAGCCTCCTCCCTGTGCTGCTGGTAGGAAACCCAGCTTTTCCCATAGTCACAGTATCTGGAGAGGGAATTCCCCCTGGCCAAGGGGTGTTGGGCTCTTCTGTTTTTGAAATGATCACCCATCTGCTCCTTTGCTACCCTGCTCTGTGCCCTCTTCTGAAGGACCTGCCTCTCCTCCGGGCCTCACAGGGCCCACTAACTTTGCAACCACTGGCCTTTATGCCTCCTGTCCTTCTCAGGCAGCAAACATGCTCTCTCCAGTGCCCCATGAGTGAAGGTGAAGGAGAGCGTTTCTCATTGGCATTATTGATTTGTTTATTATTTATGTGTAAAAAATACTGTAACTAATAAATTCATCTACGTCTTTGGCCAGTGCCCCTTTATTCAGCTTCTTGACTAGTCCTTCTTTCCCTTCAAGCTTGCTGTGCTTATTTCCTTGGTATCAGGTTGCAGCTTTGTGTGAATAATTCCGCAAAACAGGAGGTGTGCCTTTACACTCAGTATTTGTATAAGCCAAGGCACAGGCACCAAAAGGGATCTTGTACACTCATGAGCTGTTCATGTGGGATCCTTCATGATGGTGCAGCAGCCTAGAGGTTCCTGTCCTCTGATCTCAACAAGTCAGCTCCTACTCTAAGCCCACAGGAGAGACAAAGGACAAGATATATCGCATTCTCACTGGGAACGTCTACATGTGCAATTAATGTGGATCAATATACTGGAGTTTATTGCTCCAGAGTTTATTCATGTGCAGCACATGGAGCCCAGTCAGAGTACTCTGGGCGGCAGGGGACCGAGGGGGTCAGCCTGCCAGCCCAGGCTTGTTCTGACCAGGCTGCATGTGCTGCGGGGCAGCCCCTGTGCTGAGGCACACTGTGCCCCAGCCAGCTGCAGTGGCATGTGAAGATGGAGGGCAGGGGAGTCAGCCAGCCCTGGCTGCTCTCCCATCTCCACATACCGCAGAGCCCCCACTGAGGCACATGGAGATGGGGGTCCAGCCAGCTCAAGGCTGGCTGCTCCCCCATCTCCACACACTGTGGAGTGACTGGCTGGAGCACAGGGTGCCTCACCACAGGTGTTGCCTGCCAGCTAGCCCTGTGCTGAAGCACCCTGTGCCCCAGCCAGCCAGGGCAGCATCTACATGTGCGCTGCTGCACATGAAAAAACTCCACAGCAGGGTAGTACTTGTATTTCCAAGTACTGCCCTGGTGCAGAGTGTATTAATTTCATGTGTCCCAATAGGGGTGCTCATGTAGACACTGAGTTGTTTACTGCGCAGTTAATTGGTCAACTGCACAATAAACATCTCCTATAGACTTGCCCACTATGGTGGATTTTATGCCAGATGTTGGAGGTATTTTCTTGCTTTGTTTTTAACTAATACCTAGCTAATGGACTCCTAGCCTGTTTATGATTCAATGCCCAGGCTTGCAGAGATACAGTGTATGTTATAAGCTCCCCTTAGTTTCCTACAAGAAATGTGGGAATTCTCCTGGGCTTTGAACAACTACTTTAGGACTGAGCCCATCCAGATAGAGGTCTTACAAAAGACAGCATGAGGAATTAGAAATGAACATTTCTACTGATGCCTTCTGCTCCCATATGATGCACCCTGGTGCCTAGTGGGTGCATCTACACAAGACACTAACTGCGCAGTAACCTAATAACACTGCACAGTAGTGTGCCTAGCAAAACCCATGCTAATATGCTACTGCGCAGTAGCGTTCAGCTACTGTGCTGTTAACGTCCAAAAAAACCCCCATGTGTTGGTGCTACTGCACAGTAGTACAAGTTACTGTGCATTGACTTAGGACTTGGCTATCCAAGTAACTACGGCATAGTAACTACAGCACATTAATGAACCCGTAGATGCACCCAGTATGTGTGAAGTTACAGTTCAGCCTTCTCAATGCCTAAATTTTGGGAAATTGGCAGAGGGCTCAAAGTCAATATACTAACTGCAACTATTGTTCCCCTTTTAGCAATGAAAGGGAAATAGCTGCTGACCTAATAAATTGTGCCCAGTGCTGACTGGTGCTGCTGGAAGGAGGATGGGGGCACATATTAGTTTTATGAACTTACTAGTCAATGAAAAAGTTGCCTGTTTTGTTTTGCTACTTGCTGGGCTCTTCAGCAAGAAATGATGTGAATGACTGACACTCCCCCTGACACAATCCTGTGCTTGCTCTGCACACTGAACTGCATGTGTCACTGCATACATCACTGTTTAGAGGGGAAATTAGTGGCCCAGCAAAACCCCCACCCACCCACTTCACAAAAGTATTAACTAAATGCACAGGTCCGTGTTCAGAAAGAGGCTGTGACACACACAGATAAATCTCATGGCTTTTCCACTCTCCAGAGGTGCAGGCTGTCACCACACAAATGAGTCTCCACACTCTGAAAGCTGCATCCTAGGGAGTCTTTTAAGTGTGGTATTCAAGGAGGTGGGTACTCTGTCCAGCTGTTTCAACACAGAGGACAGTTAAGAAGCGAAGGGCACCATGAAGCAGTGGAATGAAAAAAAAAAGCAAGTTCCATATAATGCTGCATGAGAGCCTGGCTGTGTTCATGGCAAGCTGATCATGAAACCATAATCTCCCATTAAGGATTATGGATGGTCAGTAAGGAGCTAGCAGCTGAAAACAATTCATTGTTGCAGCAGATGCCCTAGTTAGTACAAGTTCCAGAAACGGGCAGGTGCTTGTAAATGAGTCGATGCTGAGCAAATTTATTACCCTTCCCCATTCTGTAGTCTGTCTGTATTCATCATCTTCACACCCAAATAAAAGAAAGTGCTGTGCTTCACCCCAGTCTGTTGCCATGGTCTCTCTGTGCCAGTGCTGGCAGCCAGTGTCATCCCCTTCCTTGGCAAGAAATCACCAGGACTGGTGTTGCCTCAGAGAGAGGGATTCTATGGAGACCCCAAACTCCATGTTTCATTTCCATCACTATGAACCTCCTGGCCTCTTTCTTGCACTGGAGAGTGCAAACCCCTCTGAAGAAGACTTTGGGGAACGAGGAGCCAGATGAATTCAGCTCTGAGATGTGATCTACCTGTCCTGGAATCCAGGCCTATGACCATCACTCTAGGCAGGTACCTGAAGCACGTGCCTCCCAGGCTCCTGACCTGAAACGTCTATGAAAGTTTGTCCATAGGGCTCAGATCCCACACTGGAGAGGAGAGAATTACATTCCCTTGGGGCTAGGAGTTCTGGGTGAGTTTATACCTCACCACTCCCTTGATTCCCTGAAGAAAAGGACCAGGGGGTTACAGTGGGCAATAAGCTGAATGTGTGCCCTTGTTGCTAATAAGGCAATAAGTGTTGCTAGCAGATCAAGGAAGGTGGCTATCCCCCTCTATTCAGCACTGGTGAGGCCACATCTGCAGTACT